GTTCTCAGTAACAAATCTGAAACCATCTGAGTCTAAACATGATATCGATATGATGTTCCTACTGATGGCAGGTACAAAATAACAATCATGCAACTCTAATACAAGGCCAGAAGGTAAAGTCAGATCATAAGTCCCGACGGTCAATGTAGCAACTTTTGCTCCATTTCCGACGCGGAGATCTACTTCACCCTTCGCCAATTGTCTACTTCCTCGCAGTCCCTGCACATTTGCACAAATGTGTGAGGCACATCCGGTATCTAATACCCATGATGTGGAAGTACATAAGTTAGCCTCTATAACGAAGATACCAGAAGTTGAAGCTTCTGCAAGCTTTTTCTTCCTCTGATCTTCCAGGTAGAGTCTGCAATTTCTGTACCAATGCCCAATGGCATGACAGAAATAACACTCTTCTTTCTTGGGTTTGGGCTTAGGCTTAGTGACAACACTTGTCAATTTCCTTTTGCCCTTACCTTTGGAACGCTTCCTTTTGGTGGAACTCTTTCCATCAACTACCATATCATTCTTCCCTCGGCTCCCAGCTTTCTCTTGGAATGACACATTCAACTGATCAACTATCAAAGAATTGTCCATGTCCTCTAATTGCTTACGCAATTCCGAAGACATCTTTCCAAGCATCAAGCTAGACAAGTCCAGATCATCATCCTCATGCCTCCAATAAGCATCAATGATCGATCCAGAAGCCTTGGTCAGAGGCTTATCCTTCATAAGGATAGATCGCTTGGTGAGATAAAACAGATTCCTGCAACAGATATGTTCTACAGAAAAAGACAGATAAACAGGCAGAAAATATGCAAGCCGCTTAGTACACATACTAACACAGATAATAGATGCAATATGACAGGCTCCCACTAAGAAAAACACCCTCAATGAGTTTCTAAGTGAGCTAGGATCCATATTTCACATGCTTCTGAGTCAGCTAGGGCATGACGCTCAAAAACATGCTATTTAGGTAGACAACACATTGTCAATCACATCCTATGTGATTCCTAGATGAGTATGGGATAGTGATACGCTATCACTGCATGTTCCTCATCCCATCCTTACAATAAGGTCCAAGTCCGACTTGATAACCCAATTCAAGCTCAACCATATTCAAGCTATGAGAATCACGATTTCTCCATACTGCCTCACCAAGATAATCAGGCACGCTCAGCTAGGGCATGACCCGTAACCATGACGATCGAGACCTTGACAGTTGCTCTACTAATGGGCGGTAATAGCTTGAGATTTAAAATATGAGGCTTCATTTGTCTTGAACACCAGGATACCTTGACTGAATTCAAGTCATTCCAGTCAAGTTGTTCTGATCAACTCGGATGAACTACTCTTAGTTCGTTTGAGTCGTCTATATATAGAATCTCTTGGCCAAACAACATTTGTTTGCCTTAGATTCGATACCAGAACCCTCTCAATATCCTAATTCAGATATTTGATTCGAGACAACGATTGCACAATCAAAACTCTGAATTCTGGATTGTCATCAAGCTTGGTCTTAAGTGAGGCTTTGATTCCGATTCTGATAATCGATCCAACACAACAATTGTTCGATCAAAATCTGAATTCTGCAGAATCACGGATTGTCCAAGGTCCAAACCGACCGTCGGTTTAACTTTGGAAAAACCTGAACACTGGAACGGACGGTCCAGAGAAACACGTGGACCGTCCGTTCCAGAAAGCCAGAACGGATGACCGAATGCAGACCGACCCCGAAGACCGAACGTTCCATCAGACCCAGACCG